TTCTACCGCTAGGGCGGGGAAAGTCCACGAATCAGCAAATGGTCATTGATGGGGGTGACGGACAGTCTTTTTGAATGTGGGCATTGCTCAGATGATCGTACACTCAAAGTCTGAGATACTCAGATATCATTATATACTCAGATTAGCATACCTTAGAAATATTTTAGAAATGCGGTGTTTCTTCAATATGTGTTTTTTCCGGTCCCTCCTTAGTCGGGAAGATGATCCACTTGACTGACTGAAATTGACTGATCAATCCGATATAATCCGATGGTATTTCTGACGTACACAGTTGCAACAATTTTGCATTGACAGTTTCCGCATGTCCCCATGTCTGCATGTCCCTATAAGTTTCATGAGAAGACAGCTGCAAAACTTTAGCCTTGAGAAGGGCCTTGGCTTCCCTGATCATGTACTACGTTCAGTGACGTACAGTCATTTTTACTCAACTCTTGGATGAATTGAGATGTATTCATAGACATATGAATATATACTGTATGTAAATGTATGTACATGTATGTAAGGATAATGAAGGATAATGATGACATAGATATACATAAACACATGTGAATACAGTAATATGCATATATATATATATACATACATATATACACATACATAAATACATATATACAGTTACATATGTACATATGAATATATGTGTATATAGATATATATACACATGTTGATATACGTACACATGGGTCACCCCTCTCCAATACTAACCTAAAGTGTATCACTCAGCTTCGGCAGAGGTTATTGTCCTGGACCACTTCCAGCCATTTCTGGCCAGGCAGGGTTGCGCTGTATTGGGCTTGGGTTTGAGGGAACATCTACCCTGGGGGTATCCAAAAATGTTGGTTTAGAATGGAAAATCCCATTAACATGGATGATTTTGGTATTTCAGGAAACCCCCACATATAATAGAATGGGATTTCCTGCATGCCTTTTCCAATTGTCAATTTTGATTTACTGTACGTGGATTTGTCATAGGATATTTACTGGGATATGGCCTTGGGATATTCCTAGCCAATATATTGGACATTTATCATCCATGAGGGATTTAACGGGGATTTCATGGCGAGATCATGGGACACAACAGAATATACAACCAACGAATGGCGATCCTGGCGTGTTAGTGGGGCTACACCCGCCCAAGTTGAGGCCATTGTGGTAGGGAGAATGATGATGATGATGATGATGATGTTGATGATGATGTTGTTGTTGCTGCGGCTGCTGCTGGTGTTAGTTAGTTAGTTAGTTCGTTAGTTAGTTAGGTAGGTAGGTAGGTAAGTATGTAGGTAGGTAGGTAGTTAGGTAGTTAGGTAGTTAGTTAGTCAGTTATTTGGTTGGTTAGTTAGTTAGTTAGTTAGGTAGTTAGTTAGGTAGGTAGTTAGTTAGTTAGTTAGTTAGTTAGTTAGGTAGGTAGGTAGTTAGTTAATGTTAGTTAGTTAGTGTTAGTTAGTTAGTTAGTTAGTCAGTCAGTCAGTTAGTTAGTTAGTTAGTTAGTTAGTTGGTTAGCTAGTTAATTAGTTACTGTAGTTAGTTAGTCAGTTAGTTAGTTAGTTAGTTAGTTTGTGAGTTGGTTAGTTAGTTAGTTAGTTAGTTAGTTAGTTAGTTAGTTAGTTAGTTAGTTAGTTAGTTAGTTAGTTAGTTAGTTAGTTAGTTAGTTAGTTAGTTAGTTAGTTAGTTAGTTAGTTAGTTCGTTTAGTTTAGTTTAGTTTAGTTTAATTTAGTTTAGTTTAGTTTAGTTTAGTTAGTTAGTTAGTTAGTTAGTTAGTTAGTTAGTTAGTTAGTTAGTTAGTTAGTTAGTTAGTTAGTTAGTTAGTTACTTAGTTAGTTTGTTAGTTAGTTAGTTACTGTAGTTTCTGTAGCTAGTTAGTTAGTTAGCTAGCTAGTTAGTTAGTTAGTTAGGTAGTTAGCTAGCTAGTTAGTTAGTCAACTAGTTAGTTAGTTAGTTAGTTAGTTAGTTAGTTAGTTAGTTCGTTCGTTCGTTCGTTCGTTAGTTAGTTAGTTAGTTAGTTAGTTAGTTAGTTAGTTAGTTCGTTTAGTTTAGTTTAGTTTAGTTTAGTTTAGTTTAGTTTAGTTTAGTTAGTTAGTTAGTTAGTTACTTAGTTACTTAGTTACTTAGTTACTTAGTTGCTTAGTTGCTTACTTAGTTAGTTAGTTAGTTAGTTAGTTAGTTGGTTAGTTAGTTACTTTGTTACTTAGTTGCTTAGTTGCTTAGTTAGTTAGTTGCTTAGTTAGTTTGTTAGTTAGTGAGTTAGTTAGTTAGTTAGTGAGTTAGTCAGTTAGTTTGGTAATATTAGTAGTAGTAGTAGTAGTAGCAGTAGTAGTAGTAGTAGCAGTAGTAGTCGTAGTCGTAGTCGTAGGCGTAGTAGGAATAGTAGTAGTCGTAGTAGTAGTAGTAGTAGTCGTAGTCGTAGTCGTAGTAGTAGTAGTAGTAGTTGTTGTTGTTGTTGCTGTTGTTGTTGTTGTCAGGTGGCATATCGTTGTTGTTGAACGCTTCCAACCTTCATATTATGGAAAGGCGTAGGCGTAGATATGATGGAAGATGCTGGAACGTTGCCCTGTGAGTGCCACCTTCTTGAATCGGGATGGCACAACGTGTATGGATCTATGTATTATAGACCAGGCATGACTAGCCGCTGTTGATTGGGATGATTTGTACAGCCTGGTCTCAGAGGAAACCCTTCAACATTAAAGCTACAAGAAATGTGCAAGGATCACGCAATGTCATCAATAATACTATTCATGATAGAGAATCCCAATGCCCAAGGTATATAGTTTATGCCTGTTGAGTGCATTACTTTAACTTTCGTTTTGAACGTCAACCCTGGATTCATAAACCCTGGTCGGTTCAAAACAGCATATCATAATTTAGTCTTGGTGAGGAGTCCAAATTAATCAACTGGGTTTTCTGTATGAATTATCCACAGGTTGGCTGGTTTACTTTCAACCTTGCCTGTTTTTTTTTTTTCGAAATTGACCGAGATTTAAATCTCGGCTTATGCCGCCATTGACATCATGGGTGTGTCATCTGGGGTCCGTTCCCCAGAGATCCCCCGAATGATCCAGGCGTGGTACGATGCCATTTCGGGTCGGCGAATGGATCAGCACTTGATTCAGGTGAGAGGGACCCCAGGGAGGGACTGCCACGTGAAAATTGTCGCCATGGACGATTTAAATGGTGTGTCATGGTACCTGGTAATATGTTTATTCTACAACTGGTTGGTGCTTTGAAGTATTTGTTTCAGCCATAACTACTTAGAGGATGATCCGCAATGATTCATATTCTTATGGGTTGACACGGTTGAAACAGATAAGAATTTGGAGGATCAGTTTCCCAGCTGCAGCATAAATGATAGAGGATTCAGTAGCATTGTGCAGAAGGAGATTGTCTCATATGGTAAATCCCCACAAACTGTGTAAAACGTTAACATATCAAAAATAAATCATAAATCTAAGTAAATTCATGTATAAATAAACAAAAACACAGAATTCCGCATTTTTTCGCTGACACTGCTCAAGAGGGCAAGGGTTGCGGCTTGGATCTCCTACCACGACAAGGTCCAAGCCGAATTACAGCGACGTTACCCCGACGTCACCGAAGAATATATGGTTATGGGTGAGGATTTACTTACAGGAATCATTCCCAAATGACGGAACTTTTTGGATCTTTTGGGGTGAATTCCTACAGCGAATTGGTCTCTGGCTGAAGCTAAACCTCCTATGCCTCACTGGTTTCCAGAGGTTTTGTGAAAATCTACAGGACACCCCGGCCTTTTGGGGCTTAAAAACCAGGGTTTCCTATTGTGGAAAACCCAATAAAGCTATCATTCGGAGATGGTTTACTATTGGGTTTACCACATTATCATGTTTCTAAACCAATGACTGGTTCCTTCAAGAGATCGTGACGTATCGTGTTTCGCAGCCTCCCCGCCCAGGGCTGCTTCAAGTCACCTGATGCGGAGCCAAAAGTCCTGGTGCTGCAGATGGATCAGGTTTGGTCAGTTTAGAGGCCCTATAGCGGCTATAGCGACAGGCCTCGCAAATTCGCCACGGTGGAACTGGTCTTCGGAAATCCAGATCGATGACAGGGTTGAAACATGAGTTGTCCTTAATGATTTCGGCATCCGTAGTTCACAACCCACATTGATGGATCAGGATCTGAACAGACAGGCAGAAGTACTTCCATTTTCCAGATGTAATGCTGTATCCATTATTCATTCATTGGTTCAAAACAATTTTTTTTCGCTGGTGTAGGATTTTCTATTCCACTTCTGATCGTTCCACTAGCTGTACAGACGTAATTTCAGTTGGCGAGCCGCGCTGCCGCCGCCGGACGAGAAAACTCCGCTGGCGCCGTTGCGAAGCGCAGTCTGCAGCTGTTCTTTTGTCGGCAGCCGGAGAACGTGACTGGAAACCAAGATCAAAGGGATCACTGGCACATAGTCCATGGAAGACGGCTACATGTGACACTTGAATACGTTTGACTGATTCATCAAACTTATCCACTGAATCAAGTGACACTTGATTCCATCTGTAGTCTTTCAGAAAGATGATTCGGAATATTTCGGATGTATCCTTCCGCCCGCTTGTCCTGGGATGGTTTTGGACGCCAGTCTGGGATTCGGTGCTGCTATCCCGAGCCGCCAAAGAGGGCCACAGCAAAACGCCCAAGCGACTGCGACTGGGGGCCTGCATGAAGTAACCCTCACCAAGTAGAATCTGAATCGTGTGATTTGTAGGAATTTCATGGAAGGTTACTGTTTTCCATCCTTTGATAGATTCTATGTATAGGGATTTGAGGATTTGACATTTGAAGACGATTCATGACCAAGCTCGACCACAGAATGTCAAGTGAGCATCCAGATATCTTGGGGATCCCTACTCAGTGTCTCTCTCATACCTCATACCCAATCTGTTTGGAATGCCTTTGCTGGTGGTTGGACCAACCCTCATATTGTTTTGATCATGGACCCGCTCGCTGGTGACAGGTGTTTGGCGCTGTATAGCTCAAGTAGTTGCGAAGAGGCCGGTTTCAACTTTCAACCTGTGGTTTCAACCAAAAATCGGACCCCCAAATCATCCAAACTTGATGAAACCAATGGCTTTCCCATACCAAGCACTTCCGAGAGGTTCCCAACCCATAGGTGAATAAGGCCCAAATCAGCCCTTTCCACTCCCTTTCCGTGTGGTGCCTCATTTTCGGAAACTTTCCATCTGAAAATGGACGTGGAACAGGTCGATTCGTGTCGGCAACTTGACGGTCCAGCACACCAGTTTTTCAAGTTTTGAAGAGGTCAATCAAAAACGCTCAAGCAATCTTCAAGGGTTCCAATTACAGATCAAGCTCGCATCCCTTTTTGTCTCTTTTTGCCTTTCTCTCTCTGTCGCGCTCTGTATCTGAAGTCAGTGCAAAAGAAGCTTGGAGCACCCCGTCCTGGGCTTCTTTTGAATGACCACGAGGGACTGCTCACCATGCAAATCTTCCAGCTTCAGGGGATTTTGGGAATCACATGGAACAGTTGCTTTCAACATCCACCTGTCAACCTGGGAGAACCGGCAGAGTTTTGAACCCCGGAGGCCGTGAAGCATTGGACCTTCTTCTTGGAGTTGATGAAAAGTGACAGGAAGGATGAGGTGCGGGAAGCGGAAGATGAAGGAAGGGATCGCTGCTGGAAGATGAAGGAAGGGAAGTGAGGGAAGGAAACAAACATGGAGATCTATTCTCAAGACAAGGCATGGAAATAAACCTCAATAAGTTTGAATTCAAGCTAGACTAGTGACTAAACGCGTGGCAAAGATGGTGATATTCCTTCTGGACGTCCTGCTTTGGGGATTGGCCCGCATATCACATTCGGCCAGGGCTTCCCTTGAACCTATTGGAAAGGACAAAGGACATGATCAACTCTGTTGACCGACCTTGGTGGAACATCAAGGCTGCTACACAATCTATAAGCGTCCCACAAAATGGCTTTTCGACTTTGTTTCCCAGGATTTCCCAAGCTTATTTTGAAGAGGTTGAAGTCCATCAGTTGGGCAGGCGCCACACTTTTACCACTTTCCCCAAGAAATGGATGGATCCTCCAGTTCCTGAATAAGACCAGCCAGTTGCCAGAAGTGTTGACATGTTTCACTTCAAAATCACTCTGTTTAAACATCACCCTGTTGCATCGGGCGGATCATCTTCAAAGAAAATCAAAGAAACCGCGAGAAATTATGTGTCACATATTTATGTCCACATAGTTGTAAGAGTTGTTGCTGAGCCAGGGACTGTGGTGACTGAATTGTTTTTGAGGTTCTATAGAAAGAGTGAGTTCAAATAGTGTTTTTCAAAAATTGTTCGTTAACCAATGCTGAAAACATGCGAAAACAAAAGTGCCAAAATTACGAAACCATACTGAAAAATATTGGAAACCTATGGAAAAATAGTGTTTTACTGTAGTAGCTGTTTTCGTTTATTTCCTTCATGTTCCTTTGATTGTCCTTCAATTTCCTTTCGGTTTCTGTTCTTTTCCGTTCAACAATCAGCAAAAACAAAGGGAAAATGAAAGGAACCAGCCCAAAACACTCTCAAAACACTTTTTTTTGCTATGTTGTGTTTTCTTTGTGATAAAAAATGATGAACAAAAGAGAAACACAGAATTTTGAAAGCACATTTTCCGTAAAATAAAACACTTTAAAACCACTTGGCTGCGAGAACAACTCTTAAACATAGTCATAGTCTCACCTAGTTTTGTCTACTCATATAAGTCTTGGATTATTCCCAAGCACTTAAACACGTGAAGAATTTCCTACTCGTCGTTCACCCCAGTTAGTAGGTCACAAAGCCAGGTATAACTGGACTAACTCAGTCGTTGCCCAACTGGAACGGTGAACTGGGCGCCATAGGCCATGACCAAAACCTGCGGTCTCTTTCTCCTGGACGTCTTGTTGCTGTACGGTGCATGGCTGAGGGGGTCTGTCCCAAGAGAAGATTCACACATGTGGGTGGCATATGGTGGCATTATCTTCCCCCAAAAAAATAGAACCATGTTTCTTGTGGAATTGTCGCATCATGCAATCGTCCTGAGCCATTGATTGGGGTATTTTTTGGGGGTCCCCAGTATGAAAACGCAAGGGATGAGATGTTCTATCTTTTTTGAAACCCCTATAACCCCAATATATACATACCTTCCTAATACGTCCACGATTCTTTATTATGTGGTAAACTCAACAATCAACCCCTGTCTGAGGGAGGTTGTTTTAAATTAATGTTCTTCTGAGAGGGTGAATCGGGTATTGTTCATGGATATCATGGGATTTGCCACATAGCCTCACTGGCTGACAGACAGATGATTGTTTTGTTTTGTTCAGGGTTGTGAATCACAACTGGCAGCATCGGCCCGGGGCCCGGGGCAAGTAGAGTCAAGTCACTCTCAAAATAAAGACAATGACCATACCCTTATCATCCCTTATCTATCAATCCATCCACATGTATGTGACCATATTCGTATTATATATATATACAGATACATATAACCGATACCTCTCATTGTAAATACATTTTAACACAATACATAACTTTTCATAACTATATGATCATACTATATATATATATATATATTTATATGCTATATTATATACTTAACTATATATGATCATACTATATATATATGTGCTATATTCCAGGTATCATACTATATATACTATGATCATATTGGAATATATTATATACTATGATTATTCCAGGTATCGGCAAATTTCCAACTCCCAAAATCTATAGCGCCCCGAGGTGATCAGCTTCCGCCCGGCGCCGCGTTGAGCGCCTTTGCGGCGCTGCGGCAGGTGCTGGGCGGCCCGCTGGGCGGGGGCGGCCCATCCGAGGTGCAGAGGTGCCACCGTTTTTTCATGGTGGAAAAATGGTGGAAACTCTGGGAGAACATCTCTGTTTTTTGGGGAGATGTATGGAGATGTTACATGTATGTTATTAACATGTTAAGATACGTTTATCGGATTTTAGAATTTGTTAAGATACGTTTCTTGGGATCAATGATATCAATGTAAACCAAACCGTGGGGGAAG